TCTGGGTATCCATGAAAATCAGGTGGGAAAAAATTTTATACTTCTGTTTTCACCTGTGCACTATTAAAAGTTAGTGTTTTACTCGATAAGTTTAAGTTTAAAAACTACAGTATTAGCACTATTAGTATTTATGACTTTAACTTTATCTGCGATTTTATCGTAAAGACATAGTCATAGAAATCATAGAAATTTTCATGCTTTTTCCAATGCAAACCTGAATAACTTGGATATTTTGCTTCATGGACAACATTTTCGGGAGAAAAAATAATAAATAATTCGTACTTACCATTAGTGGTTAGACTTGCTAAACTGGTTATCAGTAAGGCTTTTGTGCATCCAAGCTCTAACAAATAGTCTGAATCTTAGCCACTCAGCATACTGTCAAATATACCATACCAAAGATACCAAAAATAAATAAAAAGGATCGAAATGTTAGAAATTTTGAAACCGGTTTGGCCAGCCTTCTCATAGTAGCTTAGGGCTAGATGTTTAAATAACTCAGGTCATGGAATAGCTAACAAAAATGAAGAAGAAAAGATCTCTTTTACCCAAAAACTTGCTTTTCTTTTCCTAATAATATCGTATTTTCATAAAAATTGGAGAAATTCTATTTATTATTCTTCTTCTTCTAAAAGGACTCACAATTTCAGTTTGGTTGAATTAGTAGGGTAGGATAGTGATAAAGGCATAGCATTTCCAGTGCCATCCATTGTTGATAAGCAAATAACTATGGATTTTAACTATGGATGTTCATTATTAAAAAATTGGAAATATTTGTAGTATAATACAGTGGCAATAGAAATAATTTGAAAATGATTGGAAACATGGCTTTAAATAATTACATGATTAATTACATGCACATAAACTTCCGTTTTATATTAATAAGGCAGTGGCAATAAGGAAGGAAATGAGATTTTATGGAGACAGATAGAGCCACGAATAATGACACGACTAATCAAATTTCACTCCATTTCAATTTTTTTGTTTTTTTTTGGGAAAAAATGATATAATCGAGATCGATTAAACCGAGAGGAATGATAACTTAATAAGCGATAAATGGGCTTTTATAAAAATTGGAATCCATTTTTAATTTTTCTTCTAAAAAGGAAGGCAATAAAACCATAAAAAGAACAAAAGCAATTGCTCATTTAAAAAAAATATTGTTAAATATTCATTCAAATCAGAAATTATCGAAAAGAATTGCTCCAAAATTATTAGGATGAAGTCTAACGAATTTTCTTGAATATTCTTGCCAGCCCAGCTGAATCAAAAGAGGTCCAATGCCATAGGGTTTGAAATTGAAATGGCGGCCGCTGAACACTTTAAACCACTTTATTGCCATCACACAAAGTTTATTTATTTAAACCAATATGAACCAGAGCACAGTCGTAGCTAAAGGCTATGTTAACAAAAGGAATGGTCAAAAAAGCATGAAAAGAAAAAAATTGTCGCTGAACGATATTAGTAAAAAAGAAGACAGCAGAAAAATATTTTATAACCCATTTCCAGTGAACTATTAGCCAATGAACCAAAGGAGGAGGTGTTTGAGATAAATGATATCATGAATAAAACGAATAATAAAATGAATAATTTAGTTTTAAAAGCAGATATTAATATTGATATTGATAAGCTAACTCAGTAGACAGTGGAGAATGCAACGAATAAAGAAATTATGCGACTTCACCTCAGTCTTCCCGATTCTTCACTCTATTGCTTCTAGTATAATTTAATGAAAGTCCATAAAAATTCTTACATTCCAGATCAACTAAATCAAATATTATCTTGTAAATATAATACTCATTGTGATTTTGTTTTATTCACCTAATTTGAATTCAAACGGCCCAAAAATGATCATTGAAAGTTCTTAATTTGACAGACTTTTGAAAGACAGTCCATGATGTAGTAAATGACGAATAAAAATTTTTTTAGAAAACATATTTGTAAGGAAAGTGGGATATTTATTTCTAAAAGTCCTAAACAAATTTGAAAATTTAATTGAAAATTTTTGATGAATTTTCGACTATTGGTTCTATCATATGAAGATCATGCTAAAATTATTGTCATTCGTTAAACCACTAATTTATCGTAATAACGTTGATAAATATTTTGATAATTGATAAATGTCGGAGGAAGATCGGTGATTTTAAGCTGATTTTATCTAAAATCAGAATTTTCATTCGATAATTCGATACGTTTGCTTTTACATAGAAAAATGTGTAGCAAAAAATGATTCTTTCGATTGAGATTGAGAGTATATTTCATATGCGTTAACTATCTTTCATACAATCGCAAAGATGTGTCGACTAGTATTCACGTCAACCGAAGTTTTTTTCCGCTTTGCGGATTTGTGACTCTTCTGATTTATAAATAAATATTATTGCAATGGGTGGCAAAATTCAGAATTCAGAAAATCTGCAGTTAAAATGAAAAGCAATAAGTTCTATCTTTAATTTTGTTATTTTATTAATTCTTTTTTAGCTTTTAAAGTATTTTGAATTTCACACTTCGCTTTTTAGCAATGAATTTCTTCTGATTTCACCTGGATGAACAAATGCTGAGTGAGTTGTTTTTGGATTGGCTTCCGAATTATTTGTATCCATAAAACAACGATATTCTCAATAGAGATTCATGTCGGTTCATAAGTATAGGCTATTAAGAAACGAACTACCATATAGAGCAGGAAATTTAGTCAATCGCCTATGGCGACAGTTTGAATGAAGCTACTTTTTAACAAATAATAAAAAACGAGAAAAAATTAAATAGATAAAATACGAAATAGTGTGTCCTAAATTTTCCGACGACTAATAAATGAAAATTTATTTAATTTTCCTCATTTTCTTTAGTTGTGAAGAATACCCTAAAGTAAGAATAATATGAAGGAAAAATAACAAGTACAATACTAAACGATAAAAGGATGAATACATGGCTACTGAAAGCATAAAAATCATATAATATAGTTTCATATGGTTTTATGAAAGCTTGCAAAAAAATAGAAATCATATAAATCTTATCTCATTTTTATCATTTATCAGTTATCAGCTATAAATCTCTATTGTTGATCGTCCACGAAATCGCCATTTTCATCATGATCATCTTTTCATCGCTTTAAAGTCGTTGATAAACTGCTTAAAATTTTCACAAATTTCAACAATACTCTGGTACTGAAATTCGGAACGATGAATACCAAATTTTAAATATAAGAAAAAAGAAAAACAAGCTTTTTCTCGGAAAAAAGTAATTAAAATACAACGACGAAAGCAGTGAAATTTCAGATGTAATAAGGCCAGGTGGAAAATGTAGGTGGAAAAGCGTAATTGCTTGAAATCAGTGAATTCACGATTCATGCGAGGATCGAAGCAATATTATTGGAATTCTTCTAAAGCCGAGATTTTTGATCTCTTCTTTTAATTAAACTGAACTGAAGTAAGTAACTTTAACTTATAACTTTTAACATTATATTACAATTTGAATTTGCGAAAAATTCATGTTTTCGGATCTTTTTTAGCAAAGATTGGAAACATTCAACAATTAGATGGAAGAAAAAATGTTTTTGTTTTAAATGAATTTAAGGAAAGTATGCAGTTCGAAGAAATCTTAATGGTTTTTTGAACATCCATGCGATTCCAAATTCTTCTAATAGACTCGCCATTTCTCATTTGGTTGGCTCCACAGGCTATTAGAATGAGGCTTTTCCACCAAAGAGCTACTTGGATAGAGGTATGTAAGTGCTTCGCGCGACACTTCGCCATTTAAGCTCCAATATTTTTCCTGTTATTTTGTAAAAGCTCAGCAAAAGTTCGTCGAAATTTTATTTCGACCTCTTTGTATTATGAAGCTAATAGAAATTAACGATCCTTTCTGAATTATCCAAAAGTCACCATTCATTAATTCTTTCCACTTTTCCGGATTCAGTTTTCACTGATCACATTCCACAGATAATTGCTGCTCTAGTTTTTTTCTACCGCCTTTATACGGACCCTAGCACTCTATTGCAACAAATTTTAATATTTTGCTTCTTTTTTATGCGACTTAGCAAGGGCTGAAAGAAAACCTGGATTTTGAAAATCCATGTAAAAAACTTCTCGCAGTCCAAAATCATTTTTCAGCTTTCCAGTTCTTTGAGATTCAATAATTTTCAATTGTCTTATTAATAAGAATTTTAGAACAAATAGCCGAATATTTATTACAATATTAAGGACTATTTTATTCATGTTTGCACACCTATGAAGAGCCTATCACAGGCCTTTTAGGCCGTTTTATGTAGCTCATAGTTGTGTTGAAAATCCTTTGATATGGACTAGCCACAGCGATTCCGTGACCGACACAGGACTTTCTCTAAGCCACTCACCTTCAGTCTAGGTAAAACCACATTCACTGCATCCAATTGCACTATTCACACTGTACATCAAAGACTGAAATCTGCGCTCGTATCAGCTGAAGCTGCCAATTAGTCATTTCCGAAAGATCTGCATTCTGGATTTGATATTAGGAAATAGAGATGAACCAGAGAAAGGGGGTGCTAGTTTTGTTTAAGGTCATCGGGTTAGTAGGTCAACCGATGGGTTAGTGATAATAAAATGGTTTGTGCGGATTGTCGAATTCGTCGTACGTGTGTTACGATACTAGAAAATATTAAGCGAAATAAAAATTAACTTTTAATTAATTAACTTATTAACACTATTAACTGTTAACTTTTAACTGTTAACTTTAACTTTTTTATTAACTAACTTAATTACTTTTATTAAATTCCCAGTTTTACCAAAGTTTTCTTAAATTAGCCTGCAAAAAGTAATTCTTTTTATTTTTTATTTACTTTTTTGTTGGTTTTAAACCTCATTTGTGTGGTACTTGCGGTACCTTCCATTGATTTAAACGCTTTTTATTTTCGTTTAGTATAGTTTTCTTTAAGATAGAAATTTTTCTAAAATTTTGAAATTTCTCTGCAACTTTCAGACAAAAAACTTCAGAAATTTTATTTCTCAAGGACTTTGGAAGGATTTATGGATTTTAATTTGAAAAAAATTGCAAGCGATGCTAGTGGGTTTTTTAGTCGAGCGAAACAGGTAAAATTTTAATTATAAATTTTTGAATTTTAAGTGTTTTAAAATTCATTTTTCATTCTTTTCCACATTTTCTGGTAGTAATAGAGAAATTCAATTTGACTGAAAAGTTGGAAATCGATGCAAAATTAATATTTGACTGGTTATAAAATTGTTTAAATAGCACTATAACTCCAGTATTTTTCACAGTAATTATTTGTTTAAGGAGCTAATAATTAAAATTTGAAAAGTGACTGGCCAACTATCTAAGCATTGAACAAACTATCAATTAATTGGCTATAAATATGGTCCAATGACAATTACTTAATCAGTCAATCATGAGCTGTTTCGGTTGTCAAAATTGCCATAGATTTGACTTTAATACCAAAGTTTATACCATTTTTTGCTTAAGCATATCTTATATAATGCTCAGATGCTCAGATCCAGTTGAAATATAAATACCAAAATTAATACTTTACTTTCACATATAATACTTAATACTTTCACATATATATTCTATCGGTAAAATTCAAGCTTAAATAGCAAAATATATACTACTTTAAATGGCAGCTATAGTCTATGGTGACAATATTCTAGTTTAACTGAATGTGTAAGATCAGGCAAAATAGTTTCCAAGTTTTTCGCATTTCACAGTTTTCTGGTCATGTTTTGAATTTTTCACTTGTATTTTTACTTTTTCGTTTTATGGTTTTTATCCACGATCTGATATATTTATAGTTATATATGTAGTTTATCTGATATATAGTTTATTTAGTTTACGGAAGAAACGTTTTTGAAAGCAGAAAAAACTGAACTCGATGCGCATTTTGAAAATCTCCTGCAACGAGCGGATAAAACAGAAGAACATACAAAACGATTGTTATCCGCATTGGAAAGTTATTTACAACCAAATCCAAGTAACCCTTATACTTTTTATATGAATGTTATTGCTGATGTTATCTTTTTATTTATACCAGCTAAGAGGAATAGTGGCTGAAAGGAAGTATTGCGCAGATTTTCAAACAACGTGGTTCCGTCCTTGTTCCGTACATGAGTAAATCTTTCAAAAAATCCGAACTTTATTGAATGTCCATCCACTTTCTATCTCCAGGTGGCTATCTTTTTGACGAAGTCTTTCATCCTAAAAGCCAGTAAAGCAATGAGGAATTATGATTGCGGCAAAAAAATTGAAATAAAAATTTGTATCAGAAGCAGTTAGTTTGAGAATTAATCAAATTCAAAGTAATGTTTCATAATAGCTTCTTTAACAGCTTGATTGTGAACAATTTTTATCGAATTATTGATCCATTCCAATTTTCATTTGTCTGAAAGATGGAGATAAGCAAATTTTAAAAATGAATATATCAAATTATTTATACAAATTCAATAATTTTGCGATTTCAGCTATACGCATGGAAGATGTTTTTTATGAAAAATTAGAATTGCGAAAGGATAATAATCGAATGAATAATTTGGAATATCTTGGACAAGTTATGAATGAAGCAGGAATCGAATTTGGTGCTGGTACGCCATATGGTTTGTTTTTAAATATTTAAATATTTGTAAAGGAATGTTTTAAATATTAGTAAAGGAGTGTAAATGATTTATCTTCTTATAGTACCATTGTTGTTTGGTCCACTAGGGTCCACTTTTTAGATATATGATTGTTTAATAAAAATAATGAAGATATAAGGAAGTTTTAAATATTAAATAAAATAAGAAGTTGAGTAAGAAGAAAGTGAAAACTTCAACTGAAAACTTCAAAGTTTTTAAGCGTTTTTATTTTTTAGGTAGTGCTTTGCTTAAAGTTTCACAAGCAGAATTTAAAGTTGGTGCTGCTGAACGTGACTTAATAAATAGCTGTGCTAATAACGCTTTGTTTCCAATTCGTCGATTTCTTGAGGGAGACATGAAAACAATACAGGTATTTTTTTGCGTTTTTCCAAGCTTTACGTATTCATTTTCATCGAACTTCCAAGTTAAATATTCTAAATGAAGGACAAGAGCTTGTTCTTTCAAAAGGCTTATCATTTTTTAGCGCGAACGTAAAGTATTAAATACGAAACGATTAGATTTGGATGCTGCGAAAAGTAGATTACGCAAAGCAAAATCAGTGGAGGCTCAAACTAATGTTAGCCAGTTTATTTCGTAAGAATGAAATAATTACAGTGGAAAAATAATTTTACTTTGTTTTAGCAAACAGTCAGCAATAGTTATACGGTTGAACAGGTTTAGTGATTTTTTTGTTGTGATGTTGGTGACTGTAATAATTTTTGATCGCATTGTGTATTTTGTTGTTTTAAATCGTTGTTTTAAAATGCATGAAAGCAGTTTTTGAGATAAATTTTTCATGAGAATTCCTTTTCATTTTGATATTTATTCAAAATTTTACGAGCCATAGCTTGAGGTTTTCGATTTCTTCTGATGTTTGAAAAGACATTTTATTGCTTTGGTCGATGATTACTTTTGTTTATCTGATATTTGCGAATTGTCAATTAAGTATTCCTTTAAAAAATTTGTTAGAAAAAGGCCAACTAATATTTAAATAATATGTTTTAATAAGTATTTCCAAGAAAGGAAGGAAATTTTTTGTTCAATAATTGCTAGCGCAGTACTAGTTTTTGTTTCAATATATATTTCAATTTGGATATCATTCAGATTTCACGATATATTTATTTTCTTTGCATTCATTCATTTATTTCTATATTTCAGGCAGAAGCTGATCTTCGAGTCGCCCAAGCGGCTTTTGATAAGCAGGCTGAAATAACAAAATTATTGTTGGAAGGGATACAAACAGCTCATGTTCGTTTTTTTTTCATTGGTATCGTGGTGATATAGTTTATCCTTAAAAGAATTAAATATACTGTGAAAATGGGCTGTTTTATTTAAATTGTTAATATTTAGATTAATATTTTTTAAGTTGATTAATATTTTTATTCAAATTGTTCGTTTATAGCATATTTCTATTGGTCTGATTTGAATTGTCATGGGTGATTAGCTGCAGAAATGTAAAGAAAAGTTGATTATTTATGAAAGAAATTTAGAATCCAATTAAAGTATAATTATTGGTATGTAAATATTCCTAAATACAATTAGGAGCTATAAAAATTTGCAGAATAATCATTTGAAATGTATCCGTGACTTTGTTGAAGCACAAGTGTCGTTCTATGCTCAAGCGCATCAGCATATGGCCGATTTACAACGTGAATTATCAGGGTAAATTTTTTTAAAATTTTTGGAAATTTTGGCGAATCAAATCACACTGTGTTCTTAAACACTCTATAATATAGCTTATTTCAAGTTGGCACTTTTTTTATCAATCGGATCGTTTATCTACTTAACACGGATATCGTGAAAGTTGTCGTAAACAGATTTTGAGACCTTATATACTACCCATATATGGGTTGAACTTACAATATTATACAAATTACATAAGAAATTCTATAGAAATTTTATTTTTTTTTCTTTTCAAAGATAAAATTGTTTCACAGCTATATCTAAAATTTAATATCCTTTTTTTTATTAGCAAATATGTTGTTTATACAGAGGAAATTTATCATTTTTCTTTCTCTGTATAAACAGTATTAAATAGTATCATTTTTTTTCCTCTGTACTCTATTTTTTTTCCTCATTTTTAATACTCTGTATAAACAGAATATTAAATATTAAATATTTGAATATTAAATAGCTAACATATTTTTTCCTTTGTTGAGAAGAGTTTTTTTTCTTTTAAAAATTCTTTCGATTTTTCCAACAAATCATGATTCTCAATTTGTAATGAAATTTTTCTGGGAGGAATTTTAAGATTTCAGAGGAGACTAAATGTTAATAAGCCAACGCCATACAGTTTTTTCAGTCGAGAATTTACCAGATGGTAATTTTTTAGTAGAAAGAGTGCATGAAGCAAAAAAATTTGAGAATCACAATTTAACAATTGATTTCTTAATTAATTCTCTGATATGCCATATGAAAATTCGGTTTACGTTTTATAATTGGGAAAAACGAATTGTTTTCGATTTTTCCAAGTGTAAATTTATTATTATTGGAGAATGGTAATATTAAGCATTATTTACAAAAATTTTTTTTCAAAAAAATGAAAAAACTTTGGGAAAGAAATCTCTATGATAAATTTTTATATAATTCATAGAGAATCAAAAAATTTGCTAACGTTGATTTTTCTTTAATTCGATGTTTTTTTGTATTTATTCAATTTATTAAATTTACAGTAATTGATCGTTTTATTTCTTTTCTAATTTCTTCCAAATTACCAGATAGTTTGCATTGACAGTTTGTTTTAAAATTTGCTGGAGTTTCATTAATAATAGTTTATAAACTTTGACCGAGAAAAGATGGAAAGGTTATGAGTTTATTAAAGGTTTGACTGAATTCATAAAATTAGTCTGAATATAGTTTCTTTTTTTGTTGCATGATTTATAGTTATAAATTAGTGATCATTGCAAGTAATTTTTTTTGGTGCATTCTTGTTATCCTGTTGTGCATGATTATTCACGAGATAATTCGGTGGAAAAACCAATGTGTAGTGTAAAATTTCTGTTTCATTCCGTCATATTCAAATTTTTTTTTTGTTTCAGTTGTTGCTTTTTAGTGCCCTCAGTGTTGATTCGGGTATCAATTTGTTCGCGAATTCAGGCTCAACTTGGATGGAAATGGGGCAATCAATAATACAAAAAGGTATTAAACAACAATTGTCTGGCGATAGTGATAAATGATGGATTTATGTGCGCAGAAGATTGGTTATTTGAAAATTGCTTCTTTTGTTCAATGTTTTGCTTGTTTGTTCTTGTAATATTTTCTTTGACTATTCTTTCGCATTTGAATTTGTGTGAAATGTTATTTTTTTGTTTCATATGGACAAGAAAACTTGAATAATTGGATTAGCCCTATGAGAATTTCAGTTTCATAGTTTTGTGGAACTTTTTGAAGAAACTATTAGAAAATTCTATTAGAGTGAATTCATTAATATTCATATTCATTAATTTATTTTTAGACATAAAATACGTGAAGGAATGAGGTGATTAAATTAAAAATTAATTAAATTTAAAATTAAAAAGTTGCAAAAAAATTCGACTTTTGAAAGGTCTTTTTATTTCCTCAATTTTTAAATTCGTTTACTGTATAAATCAGCACTTAGATGAATTATTGTATGAATTATAAAGTAGATTCAGGACGATGGGTTAATTTGAGACGGGTTTTTATTTAGGCCTATTTAGTAACTTCTTTTTTTACCAAATTTTCATTTAATAATCCTCACAGCCTTCATTTTTTTCAGTTTTTATGTCATTTTTTGTGTTTTATTAAACTTCAAATAAAGGGTATGATTTACTATTTTATTTTTTTAATTTTTTCTGAAGAATTTATTCTAATTCGGTTTGATGAGCTCATGCGACTCGCTTGTTCGCTTATATAAAAAATGTTACAGCTAGAAAGTACGATAATTTTGTTCTGTCCGAAAGCTTGTCGGTGGTTCCAATGCAGAACTTTCGGTCTATTCTCGTTTTAAAGGATTTAAGTTGTCACAGGGTTGCAAAAGAAGTTCTTCCATCTTTGTTCCATTTAAATTGATTTATTTAATGAAGCAGAAGCAGAATATTGTTTTTAGAAATAAAATATTTAAAGAAATGAGGGGTTGAGTTGAAAAGTTGCGAGAAAATTTGACTTTCGATTCCCTTAGGGTCTTTATTTCCTTAATTTCTGTAACTTCGGTTACTGTACAGGTCGGCTTTCGCAATTAGACGAACAATTATTAGTTATAAAGTGATTCAGGACGTTGGGTCAATTTGAGACGAGTTTTTATTTAGGCCTATTTAGTAACTTCTTTTATTGCCAAATTTTCGTCATTTAATAATCGATTTTTTAAAATCAAAACAAATTCAAAATTTTAGCACAGTGGTCTTCCGAGGAAGTACAGTAACACTCTTGGAACAAGAAGGTAAACGGGAACCGCAATTAGTATTGTCGAACGATTCTCAGATAAATTTTAGCGATGAAAAGACGGTTGGTCCGTGGGACACATCTGCAAAACAAGCTCGAGTTCTCTTTGATTATCAGGCTAATTCTCCAAATGAAATTTCCATTGCTAAAAATGAGGTAAGGCAGTATTCATAAAAATTAAAAACTTGTTTTAATTAAAAACTTCCGCTGCAAAAACTTTCATTATGTAAATTTCTTCTAAAAGCCACTTTTGGGTTGGCCGGCTCACTGCTCACTTGGCGATAAAACCCGGGCTGAGACTCTTTAGACAGACTGTCACTTACCGGCAAAAGTGGAGGTGAATGCCCAGCATATGTCAGATTTCATTTTTAATGATATATTTGCTCCTATGAACCAACCGAACGATGATATTTGGCTTTAAGGAACGTTCGGTTCGGTCAGACCATTTTAATTTAAGACCATCGAACGAAAATATGAAAGCATCGCTTGTAAATTGTTAGATTTCTCGATAATGACAAGAAATAATGTTGGAGCTTAGCTACAATTGTACATTATATTACAGTTATCATTATAGTTAGCCATTTTTTCTTTGGCAAATGGAATAAAATTGAAACAAATAGAACAAGGAGATAGAATGCTCAGTGGGTTGTTACTTAATTTGGAGCGCTGATGCTGAGGTTCCATTCCCCGCACAAGTAAACCTGTCCAGGTGATGCTGGCGACTCATCTCTATTTCTATCGCCAAAGGACTCCCTGGCATATTTGTCTTATGTGACAAGCCAGTGGAGCGAATTTAATCGGTAATGGTGAGGACTCTTTAAAAAACAAAATCATGGAACAAAATTTATCATGGATCGTAATCATACTCAAATTTATTGCAGATAGTAATTATCTACCGTTTGCCAGGAATGCACGAAGATTATGTTATGGCTGAAAAAGGCAAGAAACGAGGGCAAATTCCAGTTTCTTATGTTGAACTCATTTGATTTCCCATTTTAATCATTTGAATCATTTTGGCCAGTTGTGTTGAGAAAAGCTCGCATAATCGTTTCTTTTGAAAAAGAAGAATATAGAAGAATTTTGTTAGCCATCAACTGCTATAAAACTATGGAAATCTTTTGGCTTAGTCTACTGAAATCTTTTGATCCATTAAAATCTGCTTTAAAATATTTTCGGCGATTGCTTCAGAAGGTTCGATTATTGCTTATTATATGATTGCTTATTTATTGGATATTTATGCAAATTTTGCAATTAATATAAAATGGAGATATTGCGTAACACTACGTAACTACGTAATATTAGTTCTTTTCTCAAAATTTTTACTGTTTTATGTCACAGCGTTTCCTTATTTTCATTTGATTTGCTCTTGATTTTTATTAACAAAGCAAATAGATGCGAAGTTTTCATAGAGAATTCTGGACAGTTTTTTATGGAGAAATTAGGTTGATTTAGGCTGTATTTCTTGTTAATTATTGGTAATTCAGTTGAAAATTTTCATTTTTTTGATAATTTACATTATATCAATAACTATTTCTGTATTTATTGATGATCTCTTCTTTTTGCTGGATGCTTACATTCTTTGCTTCTTTTAAATAAAGTATTTTTTGGCAAGTTTTTCAAAAAGTTATTTCAGATATTTACTGCTTCAAATACATTTAGTATTTAAGAAGCATTTACCATTGGTTTAATTTCATAAAGATAGTACGATATCATTTTGGCCAAGTTTTTATTGCTAATACCATGGTTCTAATCTTCCCATTGGCACAAACAAAATTATCGAATGATCCAAGAGATCTTTCATGGGTCCAAAATGGCTCCAAAGTGGTTGTTTGGACAAAATTGTTTCGCTATACTAATAGTCAGTGATATAAGTCTACCACTTCAACCTGAAATTTATTAAGCTTATTTTTAAAAATTTTTATAAATCGGTCCATTTCAGTGATTTCAAGGCTATGCACCTTAGTGAGGAAAAGATCGAAAAATTACATTAAATTTTCGAAAATTTTGTTGACAGTCGAATACTGGATCGAGTGACATATTCCTTCAATTAAAGTCGGCGTTTCCATTTCTGCTTGCTGACAGAAGTGCTAAAAGCAAATTCGAGGTGTACTGAGGATCTGCCTGTAATTACATTTTCAAGTTTTCTCTGAACATTTCGATGAATTCAGAGATATATATTTAAGTGTCTCTCAACCTAATAGCCTGTGGTGTTTATTGTACTTACCTCTATCGTAAAAGGGTTATTAAATTGGGCTGCTGAGGGATATTGAAATCATTCATCATCGCTTTTTTTCGTTTCAGCTGACGTTAACGCAAATAATTTTAAGTTTGGATGTTGCCACTGGCAACGATTCGATTATAGTTCTCATGATCCACAATTATTAATTTTCCGCTGTCAAATCTAAATTTCATCTTTTGATTATGTGATTAGGGGTCGCGCGGGATGTATTTCTATCCTCTAGCGGAGGGTTCTCATTCTAAACCAGCCAGTGAAGCAAAACAAACCAGAAGCGCTTAATGCTGTTAGAAAACGAAATTTGTACGATTAGGCACAATTGACCATTACGTTTAGATTTCCGATATTATACTTTAATATATATATAAACCAGAGTTTTGATTTGACATCATTTTGTGAATAAATGATAATTTGAATAATAAATGATATAAAAAGGGAGCTTTAAACCGTAGCTTAGTTGAAGCCGTGATTGCTCCGACAACAAACAAATTGTTTGGTTTAATGCAGAATGATCGGCCAGTAGTTTTGTATAATGAAAACTAGCAATGCAGTAGCCAATTCAAGCAGCAATGCTGCGAGCTGCTATTTTTGCCAACAAATTAAAACTCCTCGATATTTTGAATGAATGGTAATAATGAATGGTTGGGAGATTTAAATTGTCTGGTGTTATGGCCTAAATTATCATTCTTAATAAATTGACCACTTGAAAGTAATTATTTCTGCTCATGCGAATTTTTTCGTTTTTCTGAAGATAGTGTTAATGACATCGCTTTTTGGTAGTTTCGCTTAAAGGGAAAATAAATGAGAAATTTTCCAATTCGAAGTTTCTCATTTTATTTAATAAGATTGAACGCAAATACTGAAAATTTAAAAACTTCACTTAGGTCAAAAATGAGGCTGAAAATAGCGATGTCGCGAGATCCGAGGCATGCTGAAGCAGTAATAGGTGTCGGATGGATAAATAATGATGAAACTGTTAGCTGTGGTGACGACCGAAAGCTTCTTCGGTGGAATCTGTTAAATGCTGAAGCGCATATGATGACGCAATTATCAGGGTTTTTTTGGAAATGTTTCATAATTTATAAAATAAACCAAGCACGAATTCTGCAAAATATGAGAGGCTGTTAGCGATACGGTATTTCGCAGTTCGTTAAAAAAATTGTATTTTCTGATCAGCTCGATACTCATATGTGCGCACTAAAATGCACATATATATGCACTAAAATAAGCAAATTATTTCATAGATAATTTATAGGAATTTTTATCCAACAAGTTTAAATTGGTTCCCAAGAAATCAATCGAAACAGCCGTCTGATATATTTGTTATCACCTCAACTGAGGGTATTACTTTGTGATATTACTTAAAATAAAGCGTCGAATTTTGCATGCAAAAATTTCAGGTTGGGCTCTTTCCTTCCAGAACTGGACTATTCTCCTGATAAACTGGTTTTTCAAAAACATTTATATATGTTTCTAATGAGATTATCTAATCTTATCTAATCTTCTATCTTTCTGTTCATCTGATTATCTAATCTTTCTGTTCATTTTTACAAAACGCAAATTTTCTATTTTTAGTTCTATTTACAGCGGCTTTAAAATGAAAATTGATAATATATTGCGATGGGCTAAACATTATAGCACTGGACTAGCATAACCATTAAAATTCCGATCTTTCCAGAAGAAACCAACTAATCAATTTGATTATTTTACCACTGTTATTAAAACTGTACTGTCATGGAAATTTTTAATAATAATTATTATTATAAAAAAATTTTTTAGGCAAATTTTATCTTTTCAACCGGTCAGGAAAGATCGAAAAATCAGTTGAAGCTCATCGAGGTGCAGCCTTATGTGCCAGGTGGAGTCCAGATGGGTCCAGCTTACTTACTTGTATGCTTTCAAAAACATTTTGATTTATTTATGTGGTTATGTGATTTCAAATCATTAAAATTATTTATTTTAGGTGGGGAAGATGGTTCTGTGAAAATGTGGTCTAAAAATGGAATGCTACGTAGTGTTTTATCACAAAATGGTACACCAGTTTACTGCATTAGTTGGAGTGGTGATTCTTCACATATTTTATATTGCTGTGGGCAGAATTGTTTTATTAAAGTCCTAAAAGTACAAGTAAGGTCATTGAATTAAGCAACAAATTATTCTAATAATCATTAATATTTTCTTAATATTCTTATAATTTTCAATTTTCCAAAACTGGAAGGAATTATCATTACTGAATGATTGGTACCACGTTTTCTTAAAATATTAGCCAAGAAATGTATAGCTTAGACCATTAGTTTAATCTGAAATGAATCGAGCTGCATTAAATCGCATTCATTTTTTTATCGAAATATTTTTTTTATCGAATTTTTTATTTTATCGAAATATTAATATTACTAAGGAACAATGAAATTTTATGAGAAATTGGGAAATTTTCAACTATTTATATTAGATGTCACCGATTAAATGGAAAGCTCATGATGGAGTTGTTCTATGTGTCGACTGGAGCTGCAATAGCAATTTGATTATTACGGGTGGTGAAGACTGTAAATACAAAGTTGGTAATTAATTTAAGAGAGAAATACTTTATACTTTCAGCATTAATTTCACTTACGTTTCGTTAGCTTTTAAAACCAATCCTTTAAACATAATTAGACCAGGCTTTTCCAACAATTTTATGATATCTGAAAATTTGGGCCAAGTTAATTATAAACTTTCAAAAATCAATAGAGCTTCGAAATGCGATTTTCCAACTGTATTTTAAATCAAATTTTTTTATTTTTGTATATATACCTTTTAAGAAAAAATGGTTCAGCAGATGCTTGTTCTCGTTTCAGAGTGCCTATGCTGGAGTTCCATTCCCACTAGGAGTGTAAATTTGTCTGGTCAGACCAGTTCTAGCGAACCTAAACAGAAATTCATTCCTATATTTTTATTATTGGAATTTCACTAGGATGAAATAATTTCGCTACTTAAGGTTTGGGATAATTATGGTCGTCCGATTTTTTCTAGTTCATCGCACTGTTATCCAATCACATCTATATCTTGGAATGTCGAGGGCGATTTATTCATCGTTGGAGCGTATAACATGCTTCGACTTTGCGATAAAGTTGGAGTAAGTCGCTTTGTTAGACCACTGAGACCTCAAAATTCTCATTTTTAGGCAGATTAAGAGAAAATGATTCGTTAGAAATTTCAATTTTTCACAGTTTTTACAAAACGATTCTAATTCTAATAGTGAAGTGAATTTTCAGTGGTCGCACTCGTTAGAAAACTTGAATACAGGCAGCATTTTGAATATTAGCTGGTCACCAGATAGTACACAGTTTGTTGGGGCTTGCGCTAACGGCCATGTGGTTCATTGTCAAATCATTGAGAGGTCGGACACTTATATAATTATCTATTTAAATATCTGTTTCATTAATCATTTATCAAATATTGTTTTCTTTGTTAAATTGATAATCATTTTTAAAAATGGCTCATTCCTATTTGCATTTTTACAGGCGTGTTTCTTGGCATAACATTGAAGCAATTCAGTCAAAACGAAAGATCATAGATGTAAGAGATGTCACGTCTGAACTGGGACGTGAAAAATTGGAAATAAAAGATCGAATTACGAAACTTGCACTTGGTTTTGATCATTTGGTTGTTACGACAACTAAACAATGTTATATATTTAGGTGAATCATATTATTTAATGATAATGATAATGATATTTAATGATATCTAAGTTGGCATGATTTAAATTGGCATAATTTAACTGCATAAAAATAATGAACCAAATGAATCATTCAAATGAATTTGCAGTTGTAGCCTATAAAATTGCTTTAATAAGCTTTTATAATACCATGAAACTCATCTTTTATTTCAAACATTCCAATTGAAATAGCTTAAAACGAATTTTCCCGATAAACAAAACTTCCATTAGATCCATCTAACTAAAAAATTAACCTTAGAACAAGAGGAACTGATAGCTATTTTTTTCAGTATAAAAAACTGGAATACACCTATTATTACAAATCTCAAAGAATGCGCTGTTTCCCTTATCGTTCTCTGTGAAAAGTAAGTATATTTGTGAGTATATTTTTCGTCTTTTCGTTTCATTTGAATAAGGCCTTGATTTTTGCCTTTTAATGGGTTCACTGGGAATGGAATTCGGATGATGATGATGAAGTTGGAGACATTGCTATCCTAGGCGAATATATCTCATCATAATGGCCACTGCATTCAGCCTAAATAGAAATGGTGTTGGAAGAAAAAGAAATTTTTCAAGATGTACTCTTAATTATTTATTATTTATTGATAACCAACCAAGCAGGGCGACAAGGCCATGTGCTTGTATTAATAATAACAATTAAGATAACAGAAAAAGAAAACACAAAACAACAAAAAAAAATATATATATATAACATAAACAAAATTAATTATAAAACAATATGACAGAAATTAATAATTTAAAGAGGAAATTACAGATCAATATAATATAGTACAATTCGAAATAACATATATAACCTGAAGATAAAATCGAGATTTCTCACTTCCTGCAGTTCTTGCCTGGTGTAAACTCTTAATTGAATGCAAATATAATTTATTTGTATAACAGATTTTTTCTAATGGTAGACGATGGGACGATTCAAATTTATACGTACGAAGGAAAGACACAATGCTTTCTTAAGCTGCCTAATGTTTCAAAGGGTGACATTCTGTATGAAAAAACAGTAGCTGTATCAAATGATACGACTGCGATTCGCGATCGTTTTGATCCAAAAACTATTCATATATTTGAAACTGCTACTGCTCGAACTGCAGGTGATGGCAAAATCGTTCATTCAGTAAGTTTAACCAAATTTTTCTTTCAAATTCTCTCGCAGTTTCTCACAGAAAGAAGGTCAAAAATTGATTTAAAGCGATGGTAAATTCTTTTAAAAGTCTATTTATTAATGGTTTCAGAATGATATAGTTGAAATAGCAATTGACCAATGTGGTTCAGCTGATGAAAGGAAACTGGCTTTTATTGATACAAGCTGTGATTGCTATATTATTTCAGTGAGATCCTACAGCGCAAAAAATCGTATAGCTAAACTCGGTAATTAATTCATTGGTTAGCTAGAACACTAAAATTGATATAATTTGCTCAAAATTTGATTATTAATTTGGATTTATTCAGTTTCATTAAGTCCTGGCAAAATGAACATTACCTTTGTTCATGCCAAATTCGAATTGCTTAATCCAAACGATTTTCGAATAATATTCGACATTTCAACCACTTATTCATTCAAGAATTTATTCAAGAATAATACGATTATTTAGTAATAAAGATTTTTTGAAGAATTTTGCATTAAAATAACTAAATTGCAAATGATCGTTTCGTTTTAGGTACAATGATAACGAAAATCTGCTTCAACGATACATCGAATATTTTAGCTGGTTTACAAGATAACCAATTGATTATATGGACTTATCCTGGCGTTGTATTCGTGGATAGGGATCTTCTTCCAAAGATAATTATCAACAAAGAATGTAGGGACTTTGGTAGATCGCAACAAATTATATCGTATGTTTCAGTGATCAGAATTTTTTAAAATATGTCAAAAAATTATTTTATTAAAGTTTAAAATCCATGTTGTACTGATTAATTCTGGCGTTAGAATAGGAAATAACGACATTTTCCATATTTATTTATTTTAAATTGGTGTTTAAAAAAAGTTTTGAATTCAAATAATCGTATTAAAAGTATGAAATTAAAGATTCATCGGCAATCATATATCGATACGGAGATCAGATGGCTGTTTAGTTCCATGTGGGATACCTCCTTTTGCAGTCATTCTTATTTCTTACATTCACTCGTTGAAATGGGACCAAGCAATCACATTATGCCGGAAAATGAAAGTAATAAATCTAAACCTATAAATTATGGCACCGATTTGGCATTGCACTCAAATCTATAAGCTAGCGAGCGAAAATTTTGAATACTTAGCGAAGAAAAATTTTAAAAAAAAACGAATATAAATGGAGATTTGGAAAAAGCTGAAGATCGTATGTGCTTATTTATCTTTGTATTTATTTATATATTTATATATTTTGTAGAGATGATCGAATTTTTAGGAAGAACATTTGTGGGCCATCCTAGCAGCTATGGCAGTTGACTTAAATAATTTTTATGCTGCAGAAATTGCTTATGCAGCTTTGGATGAAGTATATAATTATTCATTTTCAATTTTCAATTTTTCAACTCTTACTCTATTCATTATAATTCTTATTCAAAATTCATTATATTTCAGGTTGAAAAAGTTAATTATTTATCAAGTTTCCGGACATTAACAAGTAAAGAAGCAAAACTGGCTATGATGCATGGCTTCAAAGGAAATATATCAAAAGCCGAATCCATGTTTATTCAGTCTGGTGATTTCTTTAAAGCTATTATGCTTAACATATCGATGTTTCGTTGGCAAAGGTATTATTATCGTTATTATTGTTAAAGGTCTTTTTTTATAAAATTGGTCTTTCGTAAAATCTTTCATCAACTGAAAAATAGTTGAGATTCGGAATGGCCAAGGGAAATTTTCTGGTTATTCTGGAAGTGTAGAAATTAATTTTGATGATATAGTTTTTTTCCTTATCTGAATCAAATCTTATTTATGAGAAACTTGTTTTATTGTTAAATTATTGGTTGCTTCGTTGTAAGCCAAGCATTATGGATTCGACGCCCATCTTTTGAAACGAACTTGTTATTGAAACTAGAAATCAGAGATGCCGGGATCCATCTGGATTTTTAAGCTTTGGCGAAGGTGTCTCACCAATAGGAGATGAAGCCAGCCAAGCACTGTTAGAAAAATCAGCAATTAAATGATGATGAATGATTAGCACTAACCATTTATTCTTAAGCAAATTTGAAAACTCATTTTTTGTCTTTTTTTCTTCTTCTTTTAACAACTCTCACCATTACTGGTTAGGCTAGCTTTACTGGTTGCGAGAGTAAAACGTCTTCAAGCGGAGCAATCTAATGCCATCGACAGTAATTGACAGTAAAAGCCATTCCTTTTTCCATCGCTAAGTCCATGTGTTGCTGCTCCACCTATACGTTCAAAATCTTTCCTGATCACTCCAGGTCTTGATTGGACCACCCGGTACCTTTTCACGCCATCCACCATAGGGTTTAACATGCGTCAATATGCGTAGTATAAGTAATATGCGTCAACTCTGGTGAGCGAAGAACATATTCTAACCAGCGAAGACGATGTTCCATGATGGTACTATTAATACAAGTGGTATTTAAACGAAGGTGGATGCGATCTGAGATTTTATCTGCGGCGAACCCGTAGAATGTACCTTAGACATGAGTGGTGAAAAGCAGATAACATAACTTCTTCATATCCTTAATGTCTTCTTTAAACACAATATCCTCCACTTTCATTGGCCATGTCTCGCAGGCATATAGCAAAATCAAATGAATCACGGCTACATAGATGCAGACTTTCGTTTTTACGGTGATTTTACCACAGTTCCATAAAGGTTTCGTCAACCGAAAAATTTTTCCAGCTGCCGTAATCTGGATTCTAATATCATGCTTTGCCATTCGATATTAGAGTGGATCCAAGGTATTTAAAAAGTATTTAAAATCGGGCACTTCGATATTAATTTTATAAAAAGAGGTATTTTATCAGTTTCTTGCAGACGGAAAGTCTTTCGTTTTATTTACATTGATCCAATTCGCGTAGTTGCTAACATATCGTTCATTATTTGCATTTCGTCGTAATTATCAGTGAAGAGGACATCATCAGCGATTTGAGATCTGTGATACGATGCTCTGGGCTAATTTGTACACCTCTTAAATGCCGAGAAGCAGTGTCTATTATCCAGTCTATTTCATAGTTAAATATTGTAGAGGAAAGGACATAACCTTAACCAGTTCTTATTCCACTGGATTCTGTCAATTCCTTATATTCACACACCTGCGCCGGCTTACGCTCAAATGAGTCTAATGCCTTTTTTGTCTTTTCTAATATCTAATAATATTTTAACAAATTTAATAATTGTTATCTAATTAGTCGTTTTAAGTCGGTTTTAGAGCTCTAGAGCTTGCTATCAAATACAATATGCATTTGGACACAGTTATCGGTTATCGTCAAAAATTTTTGCAAGAATTTGGTCGAAAAGAAACTGATAAAACTTTTTTACAACATTTGTCTGAGGTCACAGATATTTTTTTTACATTTGGAAGGAATTATAGGATTTTAGAGTTTGCAAACGAAGGCATAGCCTTAAAATTAAATTTTCCCCTTTAATCTTCTGTGGCTTAAAAGATTTCCGGAAGAAAGTCTTTTAAATCCATATTAAGATTGCTCTCTTGTGCAGGCCGTAATAATAAAATTTTAAGATTAATAAAGTATTGTATTGTCATCAACTTAAATCTATCTTTTTTCATAATTTTAAATAGAAAGATTTTACATTTCACATTTAGGTTGAAATTGACTGGGAATGCATACAAGAAAAAATCCGAAATGAAGAACAAAAGACGAACTGAAATATAATAGAATGGAAATTCAATAGAAAATCCTTCAAATGACAATTATCGCTTTATAATTTGCGGATTTCAAGAACTGTTGTTTCCCTAAGAAAATTTCTCACGATTTCCATAAATCTAAATTTATAACAATTTTTTATAACTGGAAGAAATTTCATGAATAAAAATGCAAAAATGCATTAGGACTTTGCCTTCAGTTGAAACGATAATAACTGATATTATCGACCTATTTTGCATTTTTCAGACTTTCACTGATGAAACTTATAAAAAATGCATACAGTTAAAAGTTATAAATATACAGTTCAAAAGCATTTAAGATTGGGGTGATGTATGATATATTTATATTTTTTCGCGTATAATGCGTCGTAGTGCGGTGATATTGATGAAACATTACCCGTTTTGAAATGATTTCATCATTTCTGCTTAGGCTCGCTATTAGACATTGGAATGAGGCAATTTCTTCAGAAAATCACATATACACGTGGTTCTACACCACCACTCCGATTTTAATGACAAATTTGCTATTTTTAAGGCTTAAGAGTCAAGGAATGAGGCCAAGCAATAATGACTGAAATGAGAAGCATTAAGCCTCTCGTTTATATCCAACCTATTGAAGATTATTATTACTACTAAAAATTTGCTGGTAGCGTCATCCATTGTCGATTTGAATTATATAAACTATCTGAAAAATTCACATTTATTTATATAAAATTCACATTTTATATCTAATAGAACCAATATATCCCTTTAAGAAAAACGAACATTAGGTCGATTCCCACTTTTCTAAAATCCCTTAAGAAAAGTGTCAAGAAGTAATAATAAATATCAATTAACCAAATTGCCAAATGACTTCTCTGCATATAAAGAAAGCTTAAAAAGTTTCCGTAGCGCCATTCATAATTACTTCTCAAATAAAGAAGAACAACTTTTAAATACTGATAGAAATTCTTTCTGGACATATATCAAAAGAAAATTTGCAAATTCACGTAAACAAATAATTCTGCAACATAATGATAATGTGATCACCTCTGATATTGATATTGCAAATGTATTTAATCAGTATTTTTCTAGTGTGTTTATCGAGTATAATACTCATACTTCCTGTTTTAACGTAAATCGAATTTGTTGCACTTCTCTCTGCGAGATTGAAATAACACTACTGGATGTTTATGATGCCTTAAAATAGACTTAAGCCGTCCATTTAAGCTGGTCCCGATAGCATTCCACAAATAATTTATAAAAAATGCGCAGTCTCTCTGTCTTCCCCTATTTTTAATTTATAAAGATATTATGAAGTCTGGCCTTAATCCCAAAATTTGGAAATTGTCCCATGTTCCCATTCATAAAAAAGGAAGCACCTATGACGCTTCTAATTACAGACCTATTAGCTTAACATGTGTTGGAAGCAAGGTACTTGAAAGGTTGATTTGCAACAAATTGCTTACTTATCTTGATGCCAATAATTTCATATCTTCTTATCAGCATGGCTTTTGTGCACAAAAATCTACTTCTTCACAAATATTGGCAAATCTCTCTGATTGGTCAGCATCAATTGACAATGGAAAAATAGTATCAGTCGTGTACTTAGATTTGGCTAAGGCTTTTGATACTGTTTCCCATAGCAAATTACTGATCACTCTTAATGGTTATGGCATAACAGGGGACCTCTATAACTGGGTGTCAGATTACATAAAAGATCGTTACCAGGCTGTATATGTTAACAACACTCTTTCTGACATGAAACCTGTTAAATCAGGCGTACCCCAAGGTAGTTGTATTGCGCTTTTGCTATTTCTATTATATATAAATGATATAACCACAGTGGTAATAAATTCTACTATTTATCTTTATGCTGATGATTGTAAAATTTATTATTCTTATGTATTTATTAATTTATTATTCTTATGATTGTAAAATTTATTATTCTTAAATTTATTATTAGAGCGGATAGCCTATCTCCACTGCAGGAGGACCTCAACAGAATAGCTAACTGGCTATATGACAGATAAATGGTAATTTAACCAATAGAGTCTCATACATCTCCGATCTTGGAATAATCATGGATGAAAATCTCGATTTCGATCTTCACTGCAGAACCATAGTAAATCCTCAATCCTCAAGGATACTAAATTTCTAAATTTTATTTTTCGTTCGTTTAAAAACAAAACTGAAAGTTTTCTTATCAAATTATACAAAGCATTCGTTCGGCCTCTTCTTGAATACAATACTACATGTTATTACCGAGACATCGCAAAACAGTTAAAATAATTGAAGGACTCCAAAAATATTTTCTACGACGCCTCTCTCCTGATAAAAATTATAATTTTAATTTTAATTATAAAAGAACACTTCTACAACATAACATGGATTCTCACTCAGTTCATAGAATTAAACAAGATTTAGTTCACACATATAAGATTCTGTATGGTTATGTTAAACTAGATTGCTCGAAATATTATAATTTTAGACTAGATTTGAATCCAACAAGAACTAATGGCTACTAAAATATATATGCAAAACTAAACTAAGGACCCATGACTTCTTTATTCGTACTATTAACTACTGAAACAAATTACCGAACGATGTAGCTTGTGCTTCATCCTTAGCTGTCTTTAAAAAAAGACTAGATATTATCATTTATATCATCATTATCATTTCATTTACGATATTATTTAAAAACAAAACAAGAGAAGAGTTTACACCAGGCAAGAACTGCAGGAAGTGAGAAATCTCGATTTTATCTTCAGGTTATATATGTTACTTCGAATTGTACTATATTATATTGATCTGTAATTTCCTCTTTAAATTGTTAATTTTTGTTATATTGTTTTACAATTGTTTATGTTATTTTTTTTTGTGTTTTCTTTTTCTGTTATCTTAACTATTATTATTAATACAAGCACATGGCGTTGTCGCCCTGCTTGGCTGGTTATCAATAAATAAAATAAAAATTATAAATTAATCGTTCGCTTCGCGGCATGAATATTGCTTGACTAGTTTTTTTTCTTCTTAACCGCAACATTTCTTTTCTTATTGTTGTGCAATTTTTTGTCAATCAAAATATAAAGTGCAAATCTCCTTTTAGTTTTTTTATCATTTAACAAAGTTAGTTTTTACTTTTTCTAAATTTTTCGGGTAAAAATTAGAAAACAAAAATAAAATATATAAAATTCCCAAGGAAAGTGTAATTTTTCCGGTTTTCAATTTTATTTTTTGTTTTTTTTGCGATGAAATTTGTCAATCGTCCATCAATTTTTTTTCATTTGCGATTCACTTGTCATTTTTTCAAAAATCTTAATGCAATATTTATTTCCAATGATTTTTTTCATTAAATCTTTTCATTTAACTAATTATTCGTTGGAAAATTTAACGCTGGATTTTTTGGCCAATTTCTTTCTTTTTTTGTTCAAATTTATTTATTTATTTATTGAAAACCAGCCAAGGAGGGCGCAAACGCCATTTGCTTGTATTATAACAACATTAAAATAACAAATAACAGTTAACGGTTAAAATATTCAAATAATAAGAATTAATGATAAAAACAAAAAAATAATAATAAAATATAATTAATAATTTAAAGATGAAATAAATAGGAAATTACAAATAATATAATATAATACAATAATTATAATTGGATGGTAAAAATCGAGATTTCACACTTCTTGCATGATGTAAACTTTTTAAATAATATCATAAATGATATTATCTATTCTTTTTTTAAAGATAGGGATGGCGCACAAGCTATATCGTTCGGTAGTTTATTCCAGTAATTAATATTACATAATAATAATAATATTAATATATAAAAGAATAAAGAAATCATGAGTCCTTAGTTTAGTTTTTCATATAGGTTTTAGTAATTCTAGCCCATTAGTTCTTGTTGGATTTAAATTTAACCTAAAATACAATATTTTGAACAATCTCGTTTAACATAGCCATACAGAACCTTATAAGTATAAATTAAATCTTGTTT